TGCACTTACCTGATAGTCGACTATGCGTTTCATGTCATTCTGCACCACGATACATCGGTCGCTGATAAGTACTGCACAAATACAACCATCGTTAAGTTACCTGTAATTTGCACACAAAGGTGATGGAGTCGTGGAGAACTCAGCTGTGGTTCTAAACAAAGCAAAAGAAACCAGTAAAAAAACAAAGCAAAAGATCTTTGAGACGGTGATCTGACGACCTAATTCTACTACTTTCAGTGGGCAACCGGACCAAGGCTCGTGTCTCGCTGGCTTCGGACAGATGGCAGTTCGCCCTGTTTACTTTTGGTTTGGCAACCGGACCAAAGGACAAATTTGGTGTGAGAGAAAAATATTGTGTCTTGGCTGATAAGCTTCGGACAGATGGCGCGCGCCAAGCAACAGGCTGAATGACAATTCCTTGTTTTACAGATGATTAATGGTACTGGAACAGTGGAACTGGAGTACCCTCGACGTCTGGAGATGAGCATCTGCAGCCAACAGCAGAGGTGTTCGCCGGCGGCGGCAGCAAGCCAACAAGCTGGGAAACGGGGGAGAGCAGCAGTACTACGCGCGTCAGTCTCCCTCTGTAGTTGTGTGTCTGAGGGGTTATTTGGTTCCCGCCTCAATTTGCCAAGTCTTGCGTGCGGCACACGCCACGTATATTTTGGATGCTGTTTGGCTGAGAACTAACGTGCGGCAGCCACAGCTAGTCCCCCTTCAAACCTTGCATGCGGCACGCCACGGATATTTTGGATGCTGTTTGGCTGAGAACTAACATGCGGGAGCCACAGCTAGCCCCCTCCAAACCTCTCACCAATCTCGCCACACTTCGTGGCGGCCGATTCCTACGCCACAAGCTGTGGCGCGCCACAATCTGCCGTAAGTGTGGTGTGGCAAGTGGTGGCTGCCATCAAACAGCCCCTGAATGCATGACCAAATGGTGACTGTAACTTCAGTAATTTTTTATTGATCCGACTTAAGACATTAATATCCGGTTGTAGTTTTTTCAAGGCTCTACCAATAGGAAATTGCCGATTGTTCTGCTATATAAATGTTGAGCCATGAGTATTTTTTTATCATGAATGAAATTTTCTTTAGTCAAATATTTTCTTGCATAATTAGTTAGAATATGCACCTTAAGATGTCCGTTTCTATAAATTTTATATTAAAATTGTAGCTCTCGACACGATCTACAATTTTGTAGTTGATTTTTTTTATTTGAAATTGTTTAGAGTCCCAAATGTTGTTTTAAGTTCATAGATTTTGAAATTTAAAATTTTCGAACAACCTCATATGTTAGTTATAGTTTTCAATACAATCCAAAACTTTGTAGTTTAATAGTTTTTCATTTGAAGTCGTTTAAACTCCCAAATGTGTGCTGTAAGTTCATAGATTTTGAAATTCAAAATTTAGTATTTCTAAATGATCTTAAATGTTTACATAGTAAATACCAAAGTTGTAGTGCCCGACCCGATCTATATTTTTTGTTGATAAGTTATTTATTTAAAGTTATTTAGTATCTCAAATATTTGTTTTAAATTTACATAGGACGGAGGCACTGGATCTGCCAGTCGCTGGCAGCACGAACGCCGAGGACACTAGAGCACCGAGCACAACAAGGGGAGAAGACGGAATGGGAGCTGGGAGGGGAGGGGAGGGGAGGAAGTCAGAAAGGGGCGGTGGACGCGGTATTTTTTTTTTGCCGGCGGCTGGACGAATGGGCAATGGTAGAGTCGCCCCTCCCATCGCCCAGCTAGATGATCGGAGGGTCACGCGGAGCCAAGTCCCATTTTAGGGCCCGTTCGTTAGGCCGGGAAAAGAGTCAGGAAGCATTCCGGCTGGACAAAGCTTACCCAAATTAAACACCCGATCCTGGTCACGGTTCCCCAGGAACCAAACAGGCCCTTAAGGGGATTTGAGTTTCCAAACGGGCCCTTAGTTCGCGGCAGACAAAATACTTAATTTACCGGCTGTGAAGGAAATGCTTAGCCCTAACAAGAAATATGTCGATGTGATCACTGATCAGTGTAGATTTAGGTACAAGAGGGGCACGCACGGGACGACGCTGCTAGAACAAATCCCTCCTCCATCCGTAACGTGCTACTGTACTAGCCAAGTACTGTACCAACCACACATACACGTAACCGACCCCACTAAAAGCTTGTTCGGCTGGCTGGTGGCTGGCTATCCAGTCCACTCACGAAATCACTGTTCACATGAACATTGTTTCCAGACAGAACATCATTTTTCTCTCACGACAATCAGTGGAACAGTATTTTGGCTTATTTTTCAGTCCTGCCGAACATGTCTTAACTTGCTAGCCACTGTGCATTTACAAAAGTTGATTACCACATTTTTCTTAAAGTAGAAAACTATGCAACCCCAGGACAGAGGATTGCATGTTAGTGGGCTACAAAAGCTTCTTTTCCTTTCTAAGTAGCTTGTGTCGCGCGCTTACCAAACATGGCATAGCCAAATTGGGGAAAGCTAGTTAAAACCTTTTCTTGGCACGAGTGCAAAGTTTCGAACCATCCATGCGTTCTAGTAACTCAGACTCATGGCATATGACTTCTGTCAACGCATCAGCGCTTGTGTTGCTCCACGTAGGCATCGTCCGCCTCCTGAAAATAATGACACGTCGCTTGTGTTGCTCCACGTAGACATCGTCCACCTCCTGAACTAATGACACGTTGCTTGTGTTGCTCCACGTAGGCATCGTCCACCTCCTGAACTAATGACACGTGCCAGGCCGGTGGATTCTGGGCGTGTGTGATGTATATGTGTCGAGATTAGGGTATATGACGATAAGAAGGTTTTTAGTTCCGATAAAAGAAAAAAAAAACACAGTATTATTTTTTTAGTCAGTGTACCTAACCTAAAAGATTAGTGTAGATCTTTTTCTATCTGGACCGAATGGCGAGAATCATGAGATGTAGCAACCGCAACCGCAATCACTAAATTCAGAGCTTGTGCGCTTACCGAACTAAGCTAATCCGATCCGAGAGCCTAAACCGAACGAAGCTAATCCGAAAGCCTAAAAGACATTCTGAAGGACACTAGCGAGTGTTGCTGCATACAGTAGATTGCCACGAGTCCACGACTTCTACGTTTCCTTTTTGTTCGTCATTTTGTTCGGTTCACATCATCTCCAACCGGACCTTAACCATGTGTTTGTCAATTTATTTTTTTTCTTCACAGGAATCAATCAATCATTATGACCAGCGTACTGGTCTCAAACGGAGGTGATCAAGCTATCTCAACCAGCCAAGGTTTAGAGCTTTATTGAATCCATATGACTAATAGCTAGTTAGCTCCTGAAAATTAACGGAGAGTTTGTTTGTTTGGGCCCTCGTCTAATATCTTACCCACCACCTGCTAACAATTAATTTATTATCTAGATTTTTTTAGCTAACCCAACTAATAGTTAGCTGAATAGATTCAAAATAGGTTTTAATTAAAAAAATTCTTTGGTTTGTCATTATTAGTAGTGTTTGTAGTGCTAAGCTTGCTAGCGAAATTCTTTTAGAATGTGCACATACCGTGGTGGTAGGGGAGACCTATAGATTGAGAGTTTATCTTCCTATTCTAAAAAAAGCAACTCGTTGTGGTATATGATAGCTAGATCAGAGTTCAACTCCCTTATCTTAAAAAAAAAAGACAACCTAGAGCTTGTTTAGTAGAGCTCCACTTTAATGGCTTTTATCGACTTGTTTTCCTACTACCCTAATAAAATCTTCATATTAATTCTCACCAGATATGTTAGGAAATAATAAATTTAAAAACTAACATAAAATAAAAAACATCGACTATTCAACACCACAATAATAGTCATAAGATTTGTTTTGATTTTCTAAAATTACACAACTTTGTCAATAGAAAAAAAAAGTCTAAATTAACCTCCTAAATCCTGATCTAAATAAAAATAGTAGTCGGATTTGGTATTGCGACGTGTTCTTGTGGTTTCTGGAGGTGGTTCTTGGGGTGGACTTCTTTCCTTTGGGTGGTATGATGTGTTTTTATCTTTGGCCGAGCACGGTGGCCTCGAGTTGGCCTGCATGCAGAAACAGATAAAACACAAAATTGGTTATCTATTAGGATTTTTTGGGAGTAAAATTGGGTGGACACCACGTCCATGGTATACCTCATGCGACCCCACCCCGATATATGACACTTGTATGTAGAAATGATTTGATGGTCTGTTAGGAGCTGAGAGCAACACACACAAGTGTGCTTATCCAAACTCCCGTGCTTGGTGGAGGCAGGGTCTACCCAATTTTATTCTGAGGGAACCCCCTAACACCAACGCTAGCCATGGCGACTAGCAGCCAATGACGAGGGAGGAGTAAACCAGGGAAATAGAGGGTATAGGATGCAGGGCCCCGTCGCCTCCTTCATTGTCTCCGCACGGGCACTCGCCGGCGAGCTCGAGCAACGGCAGGGCAGGGGAGGGAGGGAGGGAGGGCATCGGCGGTGCCGTTCAGGTCGCCACGCCCATGTCGCCCACGGACGGGGCGATGCGGGGGGCCTTGGACGGGTTTTGTACTTCAGTATAAAGTTATAGGTGTGGTTCGCCATGCCAACCATTGACCGTAACTGTGCTGCCTATTCCTGTTGATTTTTATGAAACGGTGCATGTATGCTGCATATTTGCGTACATTGAAGCTGCATGGCGCTTTTCAGATTTGTGCGCAAGGTCGGTCAGCGCCTCCACGCCTTACACGACCGTGGCCTAACATCATCAGTCTCCACTACCCACTATAAATACGCGTGACTCGTCCAGATTTTTCCACACTCGAAAGCAAGCAGAAGAAGAGCATCAGCCTAGCCTCCAGCTGATGAACTAGGGCTCTCTACTGAGCTCCTCGCTCCACGTCTACTTGCATCCTCCCTCCTCTCCTCCTACACTCTGCATGCGGTGCCGGTCAGAGGCCCCTTACAGGACAGACAGCCAGAAAAAGGTACGGTGCAACGGAACTAATTAAAGCAAAGACAGGGCATCCATGGAGATGGCGGCGGCGGCGAAGGGGCCTAGTGCCCCGGAGTGGCGGGTGACGGTGCCGGAGGGCGCCTCGGTGTCGGTGGAGCACGAGGCCTCCCAGGCCACGCGGGCGTGGGCGTGGCTGGTCTCGTGCGTCCTCACGCTCAGGGACCGGGTGCTTGGGTTCGGCCAGCGTGTCTGGAGGATCGGCGCCGACGACCCCAGGAGGGCGTTGCACGGCCTCAAGGTCGGCCTCGCCCTCACGCTGGTCTCCGTGTTCTACTACAGCAGGCCCCTCTACGACGGCGTCGGCGGCGCGGCCATGTGGGACGTCCTCACGGTCGTCGTCGTCTTCGAGTACACTGTCGGTAAGTTTAGATGCACGTCGACCGCACGTCCGCGTCCCATGCCATGCACGGAATAATGTTTGCTGCACTGCTAAACGTACTGGTGGCTCTACATTTATATGCATGCAGGCGGCTGTGTGTACAAGGGGTTCAACCGAGCCTTCGGCACGGCCAGTGCCACGGTGTGATCGCGCTTGGCGTGCATTGGATCGCCAGCAAGTCTGATGACAAGTTTCAGCCGTTCATCAGAAGTGGCTCAGTTTTTGTGCTTGGTACGTACCAAAGCCGTATGTGTAAATTGCAAAGTGCACTTTCGGGGAAAGAACGAAAGCGTGCATCGACGTATGAGTACGAGTTATGACTAACATAGCTGCGAAACCTGTTGTACTCACTCACAGCTGCGATGGCGACGTTCTCGCGCTTCATCCCGACGGTGAAGGCGCGGTTCGACTACGGCGTCACCATATTCATCCTGACCTACAGCCTGGTGGCGGTGTCGGGCTACCGCGTGGACGCGCTCGTGGCGATGGCGCAGCAGCGGGTGTGCACCATCGCCATCGGCGTCTCCATGTGCGTCGCGATCTGTGCGCTCATCTGCCCCGTGTGGGCCGGCCAGGAGCTGCACCGCGCCACCGTGCGCAACATGGACAAACTCGCGGACGCCGTCGAGGCCTGCGTCGAAGGCTACTTCGCCGCCGCCGCCGACGGGGAGGAGGCTAACTCCATGGAGAAGGCGGCGGAGGGATACAAGTGCGTGCTCAACTCCAAGGCGTCCGAGGACTCGCAGGCCAACCTGGCGCGGTGGGAGCCCGCGCACGGCAGGTTCGCCTTCCGCCACCCGTACGGCCAGTACAGGAACGTCGGCGCCGCCATGCGCCACTGCGCCTACTGCGTGGAGGCCCTGCGCGGATGCATCCGCTCGGCGGAGATACAGGCGGCGGCGGCGCGTGCGCGCGGGTGGCGGTGCGGTGCGCGACGGCGCTCAGGGCGGCGTCGAGCTCCGTCGACACGATGACGACGTCGCGGGGCCTGGACTTGGCCGTGGTGGAGATGAACGACGCCGTGGAGGACCTGCAGGCCGACCTGAGGGCGCTCCCGTCCAGGCTGCTGCTTGCCGAGGCAACGACGACGGCGGAGCCCGCGGCGCCGATGGTGGGCGCGGCGCAGCTGTTCACGATCACCTCGCTGCTGATAGAGGTGTCCCTGAGGATCGAGGGCGTCGTGGACGCCGTCGACACGCTGGCGAACCTCGCCAACTTCGAGTCAGCAGGCGACGAAAACGAAAAGCCCGCGAAAAACGTGATCAAAGAGTCGGAAGGGAATGGGACGATGAAGACGCTTGAGCAGGCCTAATCGGATTATTGCGCCAGAATTCAGTCCACCACCGGTAAATGAAGATGACAATGAGTCGAGCCCACTGGCCCGATCTGATGGGGGTTCGCGGGTTTCACTTCCGTGTTTGGGTCACACCCTTGGAAGCAATCCTCATGTTTCCAATGCATTCAAAGTTCAAATGAGACCTAACATGAAGGGAATCACGTACGGAGTCTGATTGAGAATAGTATGGTGTCATCCATCACGATTTTGGGGGACGAGATCATCATCATTTCTCATTCCTTAAGCTTGCTTGTTTGTAAAGGATGAAGCGATGGTAGATCTACACATTTCATTTCCCGCAACCAAACAAGTTGTGGTTAGGTTCAGATTTAATTAAGATTGGTGTGTCAACATTTGTCAAAAAAAAAAAGATTGGTGTGTCAACAACCTAATCCTGAAAACCTAACACGGTGTAAAAAGGCTGCTTTGGGCAATGGAAAATGCTTGATAATCTGCTGAAAAGCTCATCAGGAGCACTGATCCAGCACACCGCCATGCATGGCTCAAATTACGCTCTCTTAATATAAAAATCTAATCATGAAGTCAGCAGGTAAGCCTAGTGACTTCATATAGTACATATGTAAAACGAAAAACCTTCAAAAGTTTAATCTTTTCATTTCCTTCCATAGTTTATCAAGATTTGGGAGCTCCTGAGCGGCATAAGCCAGGTGAAAGGTTACCAGATTCTCGGTATGCTTTTCGTTGCATTACAGCGATGCGAAGCACTGGAACTCTACGCCGACGAATGAATTCTTACCTGAAAAGATTGTAAAGTCTCCCTGAAACCGACTTCAATGGTAGATGACGTTATTCTTATGGTCAGTATGACAGGACACGCCTGAAAATCACAGGGACCCCGACCCCATCACCACACCCTCTCCCCCCCTCGAGTCTGACGGAGACGCGGGAGAATGACCAAAAAAGTTTGGTCAGACAATTTTTCAAAACAAAAGTTTGGTCGGACGACAGACAGGCGAATGAAAGTGGACGCCATATAAGCACAGCTTGTATTAGAAAGTCAGCAAAATGGGAGGCAACAAAGTGATCTGCACATTTTGTGTGATCGATTGTGTAGAATATCTGGCTATGTCGCAAGATACTGCATGTGTTCTTCATTCTGAACTTCGCTTCTGCCGAACACCGACGTTTGCTTGGCTATTGTTTGCATTCAATCAGCTAGTTAAGTGACCTTGGTTTGCTAAGCCTACGTACGAAAAAAAAGTTATTATAGGAAAATACTGTTCTTTATTGTCGTCATTCCGTTGGCGACGACAACATTGACGTCCAATTGTAGAGCTCAGCCATAATGGTATCTAAATAATTCTACTTTCCAAGTTATACTTCATTTTAGTTTTGACCTGAATTAAATTTCTCTAATTTTTTTCAGAAGGGAAGGGAGATTATATTAAAGCTCGACACAATATCCCCAAATTACAAATGAAAAAAATTAAAATAAAAAATACATAATATTCTATTCAGATTCTTCCATCTTCTTCTTTTTCAATGACTTCCCTCGAACGCTGGAACCAAAGTGCGGTCCTTATGCCGAATCCAACGACCAGCACCAAAACATTGGACATACCGCAAGATCCAACGCTTCGGAACTAGTCCAAAATGCATCTAAATCGATAAAAGAATATTGACGGTTGCATCGTCGGGTATAACATATGATGTAGATTCATCACCTCGAGACCTTGATTTCATCTCCACGACCATCGATGATGAGATCGATGATCCAAAGTTGTTGTCCTCATAGGGGGCTCCCAGAAGCACCCCTCCCTTACTAATAAAGGCCAGAAATTGGCCGCCTGCCGATGAAGTCAACGCCTACAACAGCGACCTCATCGTGGCAATTACCAAAGTCATCGTAGGACACACGATCCCAATCGAAAATCATCTGATTTCGCCGAAAATTTTATTAGGATTCAACCCTAAGACACTAAAAAACTGTGGGGAAAAGGATGGGCCACCTCCCCTTCTTATTTCCGTCCGACTTACCAGAGAGGAAAAAGGAGAGGGGGCCCTAAGCAGCGCGACAGTGGTGGCGTGAAAGCAAGGAGCAGGAGTTGCTACATGGCGGTGGCTCTACCCTAGCTAGGCAGGCGTTGTGGTCGGGAAGGGGGAATTGTTAAATTGCTCAAAATTTTAACTAAGTTTTTAGAAAAATGTAACAACATCTACAAGTACAAATATATGCACTATCAAAGACGTATTTAATGAAAAAATTAATATGAAAACACTTTGATATTGTAGATCATGATAGTTCAAAGTAAAGAACTTTGATTTAAAGGATAAAGATAAAAGTGAAGTATAATTTGGAATGGACGGAGTATAAAGAAAAATGGCCCATTGTGTTGGCTTCACAAGAACATGATCAAACATGGAAATACATGTACCTAATGCGCGTGCTAGCTCCCAGTGGGTTTGTTAGAGATAGAGTCTAACATGTTAAGCGTCTTAACAGTAATTTTACTATTTTTAATTGAAGGTTTCATGTTAATTTTATGAGACGTATTAAGAAAAAAAACTAAATTCTAAAAAATCTCATGATAACAGACATTGATTCTATTTTCCTTTGAAAAATTACCCACCTCTATCATTATGTGGATTTGTGATAATCTTTTCTACCACTAATGGTAAAAAAACGCCCTTTAATTGTTGGCATCTTTGTTTTCAAATTCAAAAGATGGCAACGGGATGGGTCTAAACCTGAAACCCATGGGTTATAGACCCGGCGGGGGCAGCAACGGGTCTACTTCTCGCTCGCGGATCTTCAGGTTTGGGAACTCGAAACGAGACAGATCGGGTCGGGTTTTGATTCTGCCCCGCGGGTCATCGTCAGGGAGCCGAAGTTTAAGCAGCCTGCTCAAAAGCCCACCATACCGGCCCAACTAAGGAAAAAAGTAAGCTAAGCGATTGACTCCTCTCCTGTCTCCTCTTCCCACTCCCCTGCCGCAGCCGAGACTTTGGCATTTCACCCATCATCAAAATTTGGTTTCGCACTTTTACCATCCCGCAAAGTGGTTTTGCTCGTTTGCCATTATGAAACTGGTGTAACCCGCTGAAATACATTTTGGGTAGTTTTAATTCGTGAAAAAAAGAAGACACGTCCTTCCCATTTTGCCCCCACTGCTTTGCGTGTTCGTGTTGCGTGGGGTAGGTAGGCGGGAGCGAGGCGAGGCGGAGGTACAACGGCCGAGATCTTGGTCGTCTTGTGTGACGGGAGCACCCACAGTATGCTGATCGAAGGAGCGGCATGCGCCACAGGCGTGAAGCGCCGGTCGAAAGCAAATGAGGTGAGGTAGAGGACCCAGACGCGGCATCTTGTGCATGGTGGCCAGCCCCCTCAAGGTGTTGTTGAGGGAGGAGTAGGCCGGGTGGTTGATGGGGTGCGCGCGCGCGGTCGAGGCGGTCGCGAGGTAGGCGTGCGAGCTTGTAGCTCCCGAGGCGCCTTGAGGGCGCTTCCAGATGATGACGGCGCTTAGCGAGCAGCAGCAGCGGCGTGGGCCACGAGGTAGCGCCACCACCCCTTGAGCTTGAAGGGCTCTCAGGATCTCCTCCTCGTCTGGCGGTCGTCCTCCTCGTCGGGTGCAGTCCAGCCGAGATCCCGATGGCCCACAGACGGCCTGGCCGAAGCCGACGCCACGGCCACCGGACCCGACACGCACGGCATCTGGCGTGGGGATTGGCCGAGACTTGCTAGGGTTTAAGAGTCCGCCTGGTGCGATGTGCAGAGAGGCGGGTAGGGCGCGCGGGGAAGACCGACAACCGCCTTCTGGAGATTGTGAGCGGTGGAGGGTGGGGAGTGGGGGCGGGGGGAGCGGGGCGGTGATTAGCGGCGCGACGCATCCTCGACGCGATGGAGCCGGTGGCTGCAGGGGCGTCGCGGCCTCACTGCAGATAGGTGAGCGTCTCGCAGGCGACGGTGGAGAGGATGGAGGTGGATTCTGCGGACCAGGCCCAAGCGGCGGGCTCGGCGATTTTTGACACGCCGTGCGGGCAGGGGTAGAATGGGAAGGACGTGTCTTCTTTTTTTTTCCACGAATTAAAATTACCCAAAATGTATTTTAGCGAGTTACACCAGTTTTATAATGGCAAACGCGGGAGAGAAAATTGCAATTATAGGACGCAAAACAATACGCTTCGCTAATATAGGACTCCAAACATCGACTTCGCTAAAACGACCCTTGAAACGTTGGCACTTTGTTATACATAATATTTGATATTTTTATTCACTTTTCTCAACTAAAATACATGTATTTTTAGTCATGATGTGACCGTATTGCCCTCAGGGCTTCAATTTACGTGGGATGGGGCTGCTGGCCGCTCGCCTGGCCTGCCTGGCTGGCCGCGGTCTGGGTTGGCTGGCCAGCCGCGCCTGGGCATGGCTGGCCGCCGCCTGGGCCTGGCGTACCTGGCGTGCTATTACATCAGTGGGAGCTACTGGACGCAGGAGTACGGCTACTGCACCAACACCAAGCACATCAGAGACCTGGCCTCCTACGCCGTCTCCTTCATGCCTTACTATTGGAGAGCCATGCAGGCGACTGAGTTCTTTCCTGCTGCGGAGTGCAGAGTCCTGAACTCTGAATGTCTGAAATGTATTGTTGGGTGGGCAGTGCGCAAGGCGGTGGTTCGACGAGGGGGACACGAGCCACCTGGTGAACCTGGGCAAGTACGTCTCCGCCGCCTGGCCATGGCTGGGCGTGGCCTGCGCTGGCTGGCCACAATGTACAGTTTAATATGTAATATAAATTATCAAAGATGATCCATACATAATTACAAGTAATAGATAAAACCATGAATTTAGCACAAACGAGCTCATCTCATAAAACCATGATTCTAGTATAAACAAGTTCTTCTCAGAAGACCATAATTTTGTTCCAAACGAGATCCAAGTCATATGAAATAAAGCATGAGTTTACATCTCATCACAACTAAAATAATTCATTCAATGTGTAGCTTTCTCTTTGAAGTCATCTTTTTTGGTGCTGTCGCGGTAGGCATCCTCACGGGACTAGTGGTGTGGGCTTGTGAAGATGTGCCATCTCCTAATAACATCGCAAGCTTGCTGCACATAAATACGATATGACAATTATATGTATAAAAAAATTAATGTACAGTAAATGTGTTAATATTCATCAATACATTTCAGACATTCAGAGTTCAGGACTCTGCACTCTGCAGCAGGAAAGAACTCGTCGCCTGCATGGCTCTCCAATAGTAAGGCAGGAAGGAGACGGCGTAGGCCAGGTCTGTGATGTGCTTGGTGTTGGTGCAGTAGCCGTACTCCTGCGTCCAGTAGCTCCCACTGATGTAATAGCACGCCAGGTACGCCAGGCCCAGGCGGCGAGCAGCAATGCCCTGGCGACGGTCAGCCATGCTCAGGCGCGGCCGGCCAGCCAGCCCAGACCGCGGCCAGTCAGTAGGCCAGGCGAGTGGCCAGCAGCCCCATCCCACGTCAATGGAAGCCCTAAGGGCAATACGGCCACATCATGACAAAATATATGTATTTTAGTTAAGAAAAGTGAATAAAAAGATCAAATGTCATGTATAATAAAGTGTCAATATTTTAAAGATCGTTTTAGCGAAATCGATGTTTCCAAGCGTATTGTTTCGCGTCCTATAATTATAATTTTCTTCTTTGCGGAATGGTAAAAATGTGAAACCAAATTTTGACGATGGGTGAAATACCAGAATCTCGCCGCAGCCGCACGACCTCACGGGGCGCACCGCGCACGCCGCACGGGCACCGTGCCGTTCGCCGGTCCGCCGCCGCCCCTGCTGCCCTCCGTCGGTCCGCCGCCGCCCGACGCCCCTGTCCCTGCCAGTTCGGTCGTCCTTCCCTTCGCCTGCGGTCCCGCGGACGCGCCGACGCGGCTCAAATTCATAGGCCAAGTTGACGCGGGCCTCGGAACGATCTGGGCCGCACTCAACTGCGCCGAAACGAACCCGCGAACTGTCGGTGGGCTCGCTCCGTTCGAAATTCATTTCCCAGTTCTCGCAGGCCTCTTTCTCACCACTTCACCAACCGTCCGCTCCCTCGCCGGCGCACCTCGCCGCCGCCTGCCACCACCAGTGCACGGCCACCCCTATCTTCGTCTCCTTTGCTCCCCAACCTTCGTTCTGCGCTCGGAACGTTGGATGTGTGCTGCACCAAATCACGCGGGAGGGCAATAAACCCTAGCTAGGCCCTCCCGAGATGGAGGCGGCCGCCTCCAGCCTCTCGACGCTGCTCTCCACCCTGCGTGTAGACGGGCCCTGGACGCCGCCGGGAACCTGGGAGTCGGTCGTCCCTGAGAGCGGCGCCGCTCGCGTCTCAGACTTCGGAGCCCGTCGCCTGCAGCCGATCTACGAGCTCGCATCGGTTACTGTGAGTGAAATCTACCTCTCACCTACTTTGATTGGTTGTAATTTTGAAAATTCAGCGAGAGTATGGGTAAACAGATAGCTTGGGGAACTTTGTTCCAGGAAATACTATGCTGCATTGAACATTTTAGCTTTTCTTATCTGAAACTCTGTATTTGTGCCTTTTTTTTTGGTGGGGATCAGTTATGTTATAGTTTCATGTATGAGTACCAATATATTTCATATTAGGCTGCTGATAAGTGTGAGGATCATCTCTGTTGTGCAGGATGATGCTTTGGTTCATCTGGCCTTGCACGCGCTGTATGGTGTCAAATCATCGTTAGATGAGATTGAGGAGCTTTCAGCGCTGTTCTCCTCAAATCCGGCTGACAGGACTTCTAACCGTGTCACAAATGTGTGGTTTCGTTCCTCGAGCACCACATCCGTGGGGAGTATTCTCAAATCTTTACGCTCTACGGGTCTTGCGGTCTTCTTCCTTCACAAGTTTGTGCACTTTTACCTTTTCCAAAGTCGAGAAATGAATTGTGCAAGTAGAGAAGTTCACGGACAGGATGATTCTGATGATAAAGACATTGAGCAGCATCGGCCTTACAGTCTAGTAAACCAAGCATTTGCAGCAGCAGTTAATAAGGTCCTCGAAGGCTATTTCTGTTCCTTGAATACTTTACCAGCATCAATTAGGATTAGGCGTTCAGCGGGCCAGTCTGGCATACCTTCCAAGATTTCAGATGGAATGAGTTGTAATTCCACTTCAGAAGTCACTCTTCTGGAAATTTATCTACACACTGAGGAGTTAAGAAGGCATGTTAAATCCCTTGGAAATATTTGTTTCCCTAAGTTTGCAGGTGTTACATTGTGCCAGGAGGGTTTGAATACTGATGCAAATGTGGAGTTTGAGAATTTCCCACGGGGCACCGATTTGCTTTCCTATTTGTATGTCCATATTCGTGTAAGACATCATCTTACGATTTAGGTTTTGAACACTTTATTTATCTAATCATCTAACTTCTAAAGGAAATTACTAGCTCTGCGCTACTGTATGAGTTATGCACTTCCTAATGTCTTGTATTCACATATATTTGTAATAATGTCTTAGATCTACACGTGTTAATTAATATATCTTTCCCAAGTATTCATACTGTATGTATGTAGGTTCAGTTACTAGACGTCTTGTGTTCTAAAAATGTAACCATATTGTCAGGTAGACCTGATTGTCCTGAGTTTTTCTTACTCTGAAGTGCACTCAAGCTCCTATTACATATGCCCAAAGTGGAGCAGGGATTTTCAAAGGGAATCTATTGAGTGCCTACTTTTATTACTCTGAAGTCTCTTATCTTTTTGTGATGGTTGGCAAATATATTAGTAGCTACCTCTTTCATTTATAATAAGCAAGGCAAGATGTTCGATGCTTGTTTAGATAGCTCCTCAATTTGTTGTCATTATAATGAAACTAGATTTGATAGTGCTAGCATAATACATCTCCTTCCTTGGGTGTGACACTCCTCCCCAAGATCATACTTTTTTGTTGGGTTCTCTATAGTTGTGTGTCTGATGTTATCATGCCTTCCTACGAATATGCAATTGCTTAGTTGGTTTCCACCAAATTGAGTGCTTTTTTGTGTGTACTTGATGGCCACAAATTTCCCCTTCTTTGCCACAAAGATCTTATTGTGATATGTCTTCTTCATCTTGTACATATAACATACTAGGTAAGATGCTGAATAAATTTTTTCCTCATTTTGTTTCACCTGAATTTTAGGATGCTGATCCAGTTCACTATGGTCTTCTGAAGTATCTTTTCATTCGTTCCTGTGAGCCATACTTTAACTTCATTAAGTCATGGATTTACCGAGCTTCTGTTGATGACCCATATGAGGAATTTCTCATTACACAAACTGAAAATAAGTGTGCTCAAGGAGTCTCTTCTGACATAACAGATGAGTTTACCCTCTTCCCCTTAAAGGTAAAATGTTAATTTGTTGGGTGAAGCTTCAAGTATAAAAATCTATACTTAGTTTTTTCCTCTGTTAATAGAATATATTGTTAAATCAGAAATCGAAATATATTACCAATGGGGTTCTGTGCAAACCAGTCCATAATTACTGTTATTTAATTTAGTATACTCGTTTTGAATTATGTGAAGGGCGGGCCTGGTGCAAGTGGTAGAGTCTTACCGCCTGTGACCGGAAGGTCCCGGGTTCGAGGCGCGGTCTCCTCGCATTGCACAGGCGAGGGTAAGGCTTGCCACTGACACCCTTCCCCAGACCCCGCACAGAGCAGGAGCTCTCTGCACTGGGTACGCCCTTTATACTCGTTTTGAATTATGTCTAAGGTCATTTTATCATGCTCGGCTGTCAGCAGGGAAGAAATCATGTATCTGCTCCATGTTTTCTAAAGGAGATATGCCATCCTCTTTTGCGTACTGGGCAGCAGCTTCAAGTGCTCATGAACCTTCTAAAGTCGTGCAATCTGTCTGCTACTGGAGGGGATGCTTATCCCTCTCGTAATATCATTCATATGGAGGGGGTTCTCCCGTGGTTTGATACACCAATTGAGTCTTCAATGAATTCATTTACGTTCTCAAAAAGCAGCGTGGAGGCAGTAACATGCAAAAGGAATGCTATGTACAAGTCGATGATGGAGAAGCTCCAACATTTTTTCTCTAATGTTGAGGTCTAGTCACATTAACTGAATTACACTCTGCTTTTTATCTCCAACATCTACTTCTCTGATTTTTGCTCTAACAGAAGCAAGAATACTTGCTTTCCTAAAGTCATGCTGATTCTATGTTGGGGGTTGTGTTCATTTGCTTCTGTTTGCAACTATGCTTTCAGGTGATTCCTTTCGATACTGCATCAAACTTCCTACATAAAAGGACGGACCTTCTGGATACATCAGTTTCAGATGCTGAGCTGTTCTACGGGGACAGCGACTCTGCACTACCTTGCAATATGTATGCCTCTGTTTGTGGATTTATTTGTAGTGCACAGATTTCACAGGAAACAGTTAGCCCCCCCCCCCCCCCAATTCATATTTCGGTCGTTCTATATACATAGCACATGTTGTATACTCATGCCAATATGCACACAATGGATGCTGCAAGTCAATCCCTTGTTATAATCTGATTTTTTTCTTCTTCTTATGTTAGGGCTGCAGATGAAAAAGATCATGATGCTTCTTTGAATTCCGAAGAATCTTCAGATAAAGAGGATCCCTTGGAATCTTCAGAGTGCTCTTCTTATACCTCTATGGATGGCACAGAAGTTGAGAGTTCTACAGCTTGTGAAAATTTGTCTAGTTCCATGTTCTCATTATACTGTACAAGCACAGATGAAGCAAAATGCTCCTTGGTAACCAGGAAGCTGCTTTCTTCCCAAGCCAGTTCAGTTCACCACGGAATAAGTTGTGCAATCCCTATTGATGAGTGTGAGAAAGATGAAAGCTTGAGTTGCCAACATGTTCCTGTGCACTCACAGAATACTAAGCATACTGCATTGCCTGATGGTTTAGAACTGGATTATCAGTATAGTCAGTTTTCCCCGTTTCACAGGTTTATGAAGAGAACCAGTTCCTCATCTGAAAACATTGATTCAGTTGGGGAGTTCTTATATACTGATCATAAAAGGTCAGTAGAGAAAGTATCACATGGTAATGCAGTTTATCCATTACATTCTGAATCAGGGCCTACTAAACTATCAAACAGTAAAAACAATGGGAAGTTTGGTAATATAAATCAGCCATGGAATACCAGTATTCCTTACAATCTCAGTTTGAACCCCATACTGAAGAATGCAGCTTGTTACCGTATGGAGAGTGACGTGCAACAGAAAAGCAAGAACCAATCACTTGCTAGCTTTGATTTTGAGTCAGTCATGGATCCATGTGAAGTATATTGTGCAAGGAGCCCATCCTGCCTTGATGAGTCTGTAAATGGAGCAGCAACAGTTGTACATCCTAGTACTCAGCCTTATGAACAGCCTGATTGTTCTACCAAGCTTCTTCAAGCTCATACAAGAAGTCAGGCATCCCTTAGTTCCTCAGGAGAAATGTCAACAAGAGACAGTCTCCAGAAAAATGCTTCTGGTGGGGCATTCTGGGAGAGATCATTATTATATAATGATAAATCAAAAGAAAAACCAGCTGTGGACTTTAGTTCACAGTTTGATATGCCCCTTGATATAGTTATCGACAAGTGCATTATGCAAGAAGTTTTGCTTCAGTATCCTTTTAGCTTTCCTAATCAATAAATCATTTATAGCTTTGGGTGTTTTCATGATCAATTGTTATGTTTCATCCTCAGTCATTCTACTATATCGGAAAAGGCTTATTGGCTTAGAGTTTTGGCATCTGTGCTACTGTATTTGTTATGGAGTTGTCTTTAAGCCTTTAAGGAGACCTGGAACTTTTTCTTCAGTTCTGTTCTTCAGGCATTTGTAGTGCAGATAGTTCCAAGTTTTGTTAGTGTGTGAGCTTTAAAGAGCGATGCAGAACATCAGATACTCAATTTTCTTGAACACTAAGTTTTGATTTATTATCTCTAATTGCTCTTTGTCTAATTTGTAGTATATATACCTTTTGTTTTATCATTGGTCGACTGCTTCTGTTAGTGAGAACTTTACATATCAGGCTCTTGATAAATGATACTATAGTTTTATTGTTTTTCTGAAAATATTGTCAGTGATTTTTTATCCTAATCATTAACATCTCAAAATGCATCTAAGTTTTCTTCCAATTGTACCCTTTGTTCCTTAACTTTAAAAGGTATAAATATGTTAGCAGCTTCACGATGAAGTTGCTTGAGGAAGGTTTTGATCTTTGTGCACATCTGCTAGCTCTGCGGCGGTACCATTTCATGGAAATAGCTGACTGGGCAGATTCCTTTATTGCTTCAATTTATCATAAGGTAATGTTTGTCTAACCTTAGTATTTTAGCCATAGGTCATGTGTTTTTGTTAATCTGTACAAGTCTTCTCAAATTTGAACTTCCCCCATGCAGAAATGGTCATTTGTTAAATCTGAGCAGAAAAGATCGGAGATCCAAGGTCTTATGGACTTGGCTTTGCAGAGATCTTCTTGTGATTCTGATCCTTATAAGGAAAGATTGTTTATATACATGAGGGAGCCACCCGTTGATTCTTTTGATGCCTCTGCATGTGGTAATAATTTCATCTGGGATGTCTCTTATCTGCAGTTTGTTTACTAAAGTTCTATTTCTCAGATTGTTAACTGCCTGATTCTTTACTGCCAGGTCTTGATTTGCTGGATGATATCTTGTTGGGTTATAAAGCTGAATGGCCAGTGAATATTGTCATTACAGATGACACACTTAAAATATATGCTGAAATATTCTGTTATCTTCTTCAAGTCAGGTTTGCAGTGTTTTCACTGACTGAAGTATGGAGATTTCTAAAGGTATCTTTTCTCCATTGATGTTTCATCCACAGCATTTCATTCATTTAGATGTACATGCTGTTGCCCCGGAACCACCAGAGGGCAGCTTGGCCCTTGGCCGCTTGGATTGAATGGAAATGCAATAGCTTGTTTTTACAATGACACTCCCTTGCCCTTTATAGACAAAGGAGACTCCCACTTGCTATAATATATTCTAACCATTAAAGTGGATGCTGAGCATATTCCTAACACTAGGCTTGGAAGCCAAGGAAAGTAAAAGTGCAGGAAAAATAAGATACAAGTGCTTTAGCACTAGGATTATCTATCATTCTCCCCCAAGCCTTGTGCCGAACACTGGAGGTGATTTGCTGCAGCCCAATCCTCTCCCTCATCTCCTGGAACTTGGACTTCCCTAGCGACTTGATGAGAATGTCAGTCAGCTGATCAGTAGTGGCAATGTGGCTGGCCTTGATGCACCCGTCCTCCAAGCAATCTCTGATGAAGTGGTACTTGATGCGGATGTGCTTGCTTCTTTCATGGAAGACAAGGTTCTTGGCCAGAGCTAGAGCAGACTTGCTGTCCACCTTCAGCTCAACCACATCCACCTTCCTGCCAAGGAGCTCTGCCAGCATCCTTGACAGCCATAGCGCCTGTGTTGCGGCAGTGGTGGTGGCGATGTACTCTGCTTCACAGCTTGAGAGGGCCACCACCTTCTGCTTGAGGGACCGCCAGCTGACCAAGCAATCACCGAGGAAGAACATCGTCCCAGTTGTGCTCTTGCTGGTATCCACATCGCCGGCGAGGTCGCTGTCGCAGTAGCCGACGAACCGCGCCATGTCGGGGGCCTTTCCGTAGTGAAGACCGTAGTTGAGGGTGCCTGCCACGTAGCGCAGGATTCACTTGACGGCCTGCAGATGCTCCATTGTCGGCCGCTCCATGAACCGGCTCATGTACCCGACGGCGAACGCGATGTCCGGCCCAGCTCATCCTTGAGCTTGAACACCCACTTCAGGGTGATAGGGCGGTGGCCGTCAGGCAGTGGCACCAGCTCCCAGGTGCGGTTCTGCTCGATGGACTTGAGCTCCTGCTCCATCGCTGCCCGCCACGCCGGATCACCCTGCGCCTCAGCGTAAGTGGTCGGCTCACCGGCGTGCGTCAGATGAAGCTGGGCGAAGAGCCTCTCGGGCTGGTCCGGTGAAGACTGGTCTTGCCACGGTGCGGTATCGCAGAGGCTCATCGTCGTAGTAGGCGTCCAGGCAGTCTTCATCGTCCTCCAGCGGCGTGGCGTACTCGACCTCAGGCTGCCCTATGTGCACTGGTGTCACAGCGGGCGAGGTAGAAGACGCCGAGGAGGTCAGCTAGTACGTTGGAGAGATTGGCTCCGATGATGTAGAGGTCGGAGAGGTCGGCTGCAGTGCTGGAGAGGTCAAAGCTGCTATCAACGGGCTGCCGACCACCGCCGATGGGCTGCCGAGCTCCCCTGGATTTGGCGAACGAGGCGGAGTTGGTGAAGAGGTCGACGCTGGTGATGAAGACCCATACGTCGATGAAGATGCACCTTGTGCTTCCTCAGCACCTCCAGCCCACGCGTACTCGACGGTGAAGTCGCTAAGTGTGGTCGCCGACTCGTCATCCACCGCCTTGTCCCATGCCCAGCCGCGTCCTTCATCGAACACAACCACGCGCACGCGCCGTGTCGCCGGATCGAGCACGCGGTAGGCCTTAGCCCCTTCTGCGTAGCCGATGAAGACCCCCAGCGAGCTGCGATTGTCGAGCTTGCGGACGTGGTTCAGCTCCTTGACGAAGGCGAGGCAGCCGAAGACGCGCACGTAGACTGCCGGCTTGCGCCCGTGCCAGGCCTCGTACGACGTCTTGCCATCGAGCGCACTGGTCGGAGAGCGGTTGAGTAGGTGTATGGCGGTCATCACGGCCTCTCCCCAGTAGACCGCTGGCATACCGCGCTGCTTGAGGAGCGCGCGCGCCGCTGCCACCACCGTCTGATTGCGGCGCTCGACCACGCCGTTCTGCTGCGGTGAGTAGGGCGCGGAGTAGTGGCGCTAAATCCCCTCGTCGGCGCAGTATGCCGCGAACTCAGCTGCCGTGAATTCGCCGCCGTTGTCCATGCGGAGCACCCGGAGCTTGCGGCCGCACTCCTCCGCGGCTGCCTGGTGGCGCTTGATGGCGTCCGTAGCTGCTGCCTTGGAATCGAGCAGCACGGCCCACATATAGCGGGTGGCGTTGTCGACGAGTAGTAGGAAGTAGCGTTGACCTCCAGGAGTGGCCGGTGACACTGGACCGCAGAAGTCGCCGTGCACTAGCTCGAGCTGCTCAGTGGCGCGGTAGGAGGCTTGACGCAGGAAGGGCCGGCGCTTCAGCTTGGTCACCACACAGGTGTCGCGGAGCTGCTCGACGTGGTCGACGCAGGGCATGCCGCGGACCATCTCCTTCTTGCCGAGCTGCTTCATGGCTTCGAAGTGAAGGTGCCCGAAGCGCTCGTACCAGCGCCACACCTCATCATCCCGGCGCGCGGCAAGGCAGAGTGGGTGCACCACCTGTACATGGAGCACATAAAGGCGGTTGCTTCCCCGGTTCACCTTGGCGAGAAGACGGCGGCCTCTATCCTAGATACGTAGCACGCCGTCCTCAATCTCCACCCGCGAGCCGTTCTCGTCCAGCTGCCCGACGCTGATGATGGAGTTCTTCAAGGCCGGGATGTAGTACACCCCGGTGAGAAGACGGTGCTCCCCTGTCTTGGCCTTGAAGATGACCGAGCCGATGCCCTTGATCTCGACGGCGGAGGCGTCATCGAACTTGACGGAGCCCTTCACGCTGGAGTTCAGGTCGGAGAAGAACTCGCGCCGACCAGTCATGTGGTGCGTTGCACCGGTGTCGAGGTACCAGCCGTCGATCTTGTCATTGGCGGCACCTTTGCCGAGGAAGGCGTGGGCGCGTGGTTCATTGAGGTGGAGCTCGGCGGAGCTAGCCGCCCCGGAAAGGGGAAAGCTTGGACCTTTCACCCCCTCCCCTGTGTCTTGCTGTAGCTCGACGCACCCGTGCGCTAGGAACAGGGTGGCATCCTGCTCCTCTGCTTGCGCGACGTGAGCCTGCCCACCGCGGCGTGGAGGAAGGCGGCACTCCTTGGCCCAGTGGCCAGTCCTGCCACAGTTGTTGCAGGTGTCATCCCGGGTCGCCTTGCGCTCGCCAGCGGCGCCGCCACCAGCGCCGACCTAGGCCCGGGGTCCCTTCTCCTTGCCGCCGTGTGGACGCCGGCGACGCTCCTTGGAGCCGGACGAGCCGAATCCTTCCTCCTTGTTGAAGGCGCGTCACTGCTCCATTGTGTACAGCAGCTTGCCTCCGGCGGCGCCCTACTCGGAGTCCTGCTCCTGCTCGCGATCTTGCACCGCCTTGAGCCTCCCAGTGACGTCCTCGACGGTGAGCTGCTCGAAGTCGAGGAGCGTCTCGATTGAATTGACGGTCTGCGCGTACCTCTTTCGCATGCAGCGGAGGAATTTCTCCACCGCGCGCTCCTCCGTGAGGTTGGTGTCGCCGTTGCACGCCATCTGCTCCATCAGATTGGTAAGACGAAGGGCAAAGTCCTCGACTTGCTCACCAGGCTGAAAGGCAAGGCCTTCCCACTCCCCTCGGAGGCGCTGCAACGTTGCCCGGCGCACACGATCTCCGCCGATGCGTGCCGCGGCGATTGATTCCCACGCTAGCTTTGCCATAGCCTTGTTGGCGAGGGAGGCGCCAAGCTTGGTGGGGAGGACGGCGCACAACGCCTCAACGCCCGGCGATTGTCGTCGTAGTCGCCGCCACCGATGTGAACCGCCTCCCACAGCCGCCGGGCCTGCAGCTTGACCTTCATCAGCAGGCTCCACTCGTGGTAGTTCGACTTGGTGAGCATCGGCCACGGCGTTCCGCTCGGTCGTCGCAGTAGACCTTCTGCGCGACCGGAGAGCGCACACGCCGACCACCACCACGCCGCCGCTGACGGTGATCGGCGGTGGCGCCCGGCCGGACTACGCGATCCTCCACCGGCTTCGCTCCATCTCGGCGCAGAACGCAGCTGCGGGCGGCCTACTGAGGCTCGGGCAGTAGCCGCCGCCGCTGGTGTCTCGGCGCCGCCCTTGCAGCCTGCCTCTGCATGGCAACAAAAGCGCGTCAGCGCGATCGTCGGCTCTGCACCCGCAGCGGCGCGCGCTCTCGCGATCTGGCTGGCGGTGGACATGGCGCTCGCTCACTCAAGAGCTCTCTCGGCTCTGATACCCGATTGTTGGCCCGATTGGATCTCAGATTCAGATCTGGAACTACTAGAGGACAGCTTGGCCCTTGGCCACTTGGATTGAATGGAAATGCAATAGCTTGTTTTTACAATGACACTTCCTTGCCCTTTATAGACAAAGGGGACTCCCACTTTCTACAACATATTCTAACCACTAAAGTGGATGCTGAGCATATTCCTAACACTAGGCTTGGAAGCCAAGGAAAGTAAAAGTGTAGGAAAAGTAAGATAAGTGCTTTAGCACTAGGCTTATCTATCACATGCTATGAGAACTTTGACTTCTGTTATTATTTCCTGTGGATTGAACCAATTTTGTTAGTGCCCACTGCCCGGTGTTCATGGAAAGTACCACTGTTAACTGATCCTGAGCTAAATTTTCTTATCAAGTAGCTACAGCAAGCTGTTTCTTTTGCTCTAGTTCTCATTATAGATCTTGGTAATGCGGCACTTCTTTGGTATGTAAGTGAATATATGACTCTCTTGCTACATTATCACAGGAGTTGACACAGTTCATCAGTCGCTCCAGCGATAGCAGACCTGATGTGTTGAAGAAATTGAATTTTGTAATGAAAGTGAGGTACTTACATTGTGAATCTTTCTAAAACTTTGGCACCCAATCACCAACCTTATATTCCTGTTATCAGTTTTATGCTGTCACTGAAGTGTTAGGAATTAAATACTTTTTCCTAAATTGTTTGATACATTGTTGAATCTTATCTTGCTTCTGGAATTCCTTTGGGAATGCAATTTACATAGGCATGTTCATATCATAGTAAAGTAGATATAAAGTTCATATCCAATTAGGCAATTATCCATTCAGTTGCATATGTAGTAGATATAAATATTTGATTTGCAATTGCGTAAACTAATTTTATCAAGTCAACAAAGCATACTGGATCTTGCTCATCCTGTTGGCTCATTTCTAATTTCTTGTACTGTGCCCATGAATAGCATTTTTACCTATCATGAACAGTCATGTGGCTTTATTTTGGTTTCTGGCACTAACTGCTTGTCTTTCTTTCTGTTGTATGACTTTATTTAGGCATAAACTTTATCACTTTCTATCAACACTACAGCAGTATCTCCATTGCCATTTATCTGATATATCGTGGCGCCGTTTTCAACATTCCCTTAAAAATCAGGTATAGTATTTCAATCACTATTCTTTTAAAACTTCACCCTGAGAGGAATTAATATGCTTTGTTAGGCTTCCTTTCTTAATTTTTCTGTTCATTAAATACACTTATCACTTACGAATTGAACTATGGCTACTAATATTCTGTTATTGCTTAGGTGAGGGATATACTGGACCTGGAGTATGTGCATATGTGTTATATTACTGATGCACTTGACATGTGAGTGAAACCTTAAAAAAATTATTTGTAATTTGCGATACTGGCCATGTACTTAAGTATACCATTTGTTCAAATGAAGGGGAACAACAGCAATGTGCAAAATTGGCATTTATTTCTGCTTTATCTCTTTAGTGGTGTAATTTATTACCATCAGCATAATATAAATTATAATAAAATTGCCTGACTGTTAAAGATTTGGCTTGTCATTTTTGCAGTTGGTTACATAGGTGAGTATATGGAGTATGGAGTATGGACCTACTTCTTTCATGTATGAGTTAGGGTAATAAATAGATTTATAGATGGCATGGGAAACACAAGTACTTAATTGAGTATCCAGACTCAAAGATTGTGTTTAACTTGTCAAAAGAAGCTTATTTTCTCTATCTCATTTTCTCGTTTGTCTTATCTGTGCGTATCATCCTATTTAGATTTGATGTGGATATCTCCATGAGTAATTAGATTTGGGTATGTAGAAACAAAGTAGATTCGTCTAAGAAGATTTTCACAAGATTGCACCTCTACTTGGTCTTATAAATATGCAACTATAATTCGCGACCAGGATTCTGTCCCGGAGACCATATGCCTATGTCCACAATGACACTTATTGTGATTGAAGTGCTTTTTTTTTCTCGAACAAGCATGAGAGCTGTGTATCTTTGTATTAAGAAGAAAATAGGGCAAGAACCCTTACAACACACATCCATGCGCTCATGTTTCTAAGAGTACATTCACACCCTAATTGCGATTGGAGTGTTTTCAAGTCGGTAAGTCAAGCCTAGACACCCTGGCACTGACTAGACAACTAGGTCGACTACTCAGATCACTAGAACGACTAGTCGGTGGCAGAGGCACAAAGACTAGCACAAATATAGATTAAATATTCCAGAGTAAGTAGCAGTGTAGCACTGGCAAAGTAGCAAGTCAAGTAGCAATCTAGCATAGCACCGCATATGCAGAGCACAATATCACATTATATCACTAGAACTCTACTGGGTTGTGGCCTCAAACTGAAATGGGATAAAATTCCAAGGCCAACTCATTGAGGTCAAGTCGTCCATGCCTAAATTGAGCTACCAGTCGTGATTGGCCATCGAGTAGTCATATGACTGGTGAACTAGTCACTCTAGTCGAGTTGTGGCACCAAGTCAATGCCCACCAACCGACTGGTGACTAATTGTCGACTAATCACAATTAGTTGGACGACTTAATAATACTGGATTGGGCTGGATGGAGTATGCTTTACAACGTGCCAATTGTTATCTGATTGGTTGATGTGTTTGTTTTTAACTTGTCATGACGTATTTGTGTTCGTTGATAACTGATCATGACATGTTTTTCAGGTGTTTCTTATCTGATGAGTCAAAACAAGTTGCCATGATAATCAAAAGCATGCTGCAACTGGCTTTGGAGTTACGATTATGCTTCCAGAGTCTTGGTGATACTTGTGACTTATCGGTAAATCAACTAAGTAATCTGCAATACCTTATAAACTTCTCTCAGGTATTCTCTCAGTTTCATACAAGCAATGTAGTTTGATTTCTGCCTTGATTCAGCCTTTCAACTCCAGCATGCAAATTGAAAAGCGTCCAACCCTATGGTGATATATATGTGTAGCCTTTCAACTCCAGGATGTCATATATGTTCAGAGTGGCTTGCAGTTAGTATCCCTGTTAGTTAATAAGCCACTGCCCTTAAATGCTGATATAGAACTGGCAGTTTCGTCATAGTTGTCGACAATGGAATCCCTTTGTTCTGTCATTCTGTGTGAAACTTAACAGTTTGATTTTTCTTAGTTGCTAAGATCCGCTTTTGTTGATTGTTCACTGTTATCTGCAGCAGTAGTTTAGAGGATCTTCATTTCCTCCAAATCTCACCTTGCCACAAGTATTATCTGCTAATAGGCTTTTTAGCGCCCTTTGGTCACTGTATGCTTTTCAATGCAGGTGGATGTAATTAGAACAAAGTTTGAGGGCAACATCAGAGATTTGTATATTTTGCATTCGAAATCTTCGAAATATGGGGAGCTTGGCCTTTCCCGTTTCTGGGGGTATCTGAACTACAATGAGTATCATTCTATGAAAATCAGTACAGATATGGGCAGCTTCTGTTTTTGATAACATCTTAAGACTGAACTAAGGTTTGCCTTTATCTTTGGGGATTAGCTCACCTTTTAAACCGTTGGTGGGATCATTGTGTCTATTTGTTTGTTTCATGGTAGTGATGAGAGGTGCATCACTTTGTTTTGGATCTTCTGGAATCAGTTCAGCTTTTTGAGCCACCCAGGACAGAAATTATTGCTTGTTTGTGCTGTGGTTATATGCTCCCTTACGCATCTGCAAGCCGAGACGTACACGATGCTGAGAGCCGAGAGTTCTCCTTTTAGATATACACGCTGATTTGATCAAATTGCCCCTTGTATTGGTTTTGGCGAACTAGAGAGAACTACGGTTCTGACATGCCATATTCTTGGAGATGCATGTATGTACTAATGGATCTCAAATTTACAATCAAAATAGGAAATCACGTGACTTGATTATCATACAATGCTAATGGTGTTTCTGTAGATTTTGGTTGGGAGTGAATGTATGTACTATGTAGTTCTTTGAAAGGTGGTAATTTTGTATAGCCCATGTAATCTTGATTCTTGACACGTTACACTTGGTAAATGCAAGGTGAGTGATTGCTCTGTGGTCTCATTTATAGTTTTATGCTTACACTTGTACTCCACTGTCCAAAAATATAAGAATTTTTTAGTTGTTCAAACCATTCTAAGTTTGATTAAATTTGTAGAAAAGAACAGTAATATTCACGATATCAATTGAGCTTCATCAGACGTATTATGAAATTTATTTTCATAATTATCTATTGATGTGGTAGTTGGCAATAGTTTTCTCTATAAACCTAATCCAATTTAGTATGGTTTTGACTTAGTAAGTACAACTAAAAATCTCTCACATCATTTCAGGACCGAGGGATACCAGTATACCACTGCTCGCATTCACGTATGCACATCGAGGTCAACCCGCTCGTACTCTACGACCATACGACTAGGTCATGCCGCGCAAGCGATGACATACTCTTTTAATCGCAAGAAAGCTACATCTCTATCTCTGTGAAATCACTCTGATATCGATCACGAAAACACACAAAACAAAAACCGCTGACAGAAGGTACATCCACCAAACTGCATTTTCTGTCATCCTATCAAACGCGCCTGTCGCATCTAGCGTGTAGCATTAGACATGTCATGTCAATGTATCATCGTCCAAATGACCAAACACGGGACTACGGGAGCGCTAGCTGGGTGCCGTGAAACGCAATTTCAATTTGTAATGACCAGCGCGCACGGCGTGTTAGCGACAGCCGGCCCGGATGTCCCTCTCGGATGAACAAGCCGCTGTGACGCGCGACGAAGCTCAGGGGTGCACCGCACATGCACAAACCTGCCATCGAATGGAATCCGTTTTCTTCTCTCCCAGATTCGTCCAGCTCTATATATAAAAACACTACTAGTACACTACATATATATATCTGCAAGTTGCCAATGTACAGCACGGGGCTTTGACAGACACTAGCTAGGCTCCAAAACGGCATCCCATGCAGTAGCTTCACAATGTGTTATTAGATCACAGGGAAGTTTAGTTATGGTTTCCAACTACAGCTGGAGAAAGTTAGCTTGGCGTCAGATGTATTATGTATGTTTAGTTTTGACTAAGCTATATAAAGCTAGCAAAAGTGCACAAATGTCCTCTCTGGATCTGTCTGTAATTTTGAATCTGCATATCGAAGTAAGCAGGGAATATATGTGTGTGTCTTCTTAATTTTATAGTTTGTTAAGGGGTGTTTGGTTGCCCTTGCTAAAGTTTAGTTGGCTAAATCTAGTCCCATTTAATTACTTTTTATCCAAACACTATGACTAAATGGGACTAAAAGAGGCTTTAACCAACTAATTACTAGGATGTTGCTAAATGGGACTAAATGGGGCTAAACCTCACATTTTAGTCCCATTTAATCACTTTAGAGCCAAACACCTTAACTAAAAGGGACTAAAAGACCTCTTTTAATCACCCAAACCAAACACCCAATAACTAAAGTTTAGTCCATGGTTTAACTAATAAAGTTTAGCGAGGGAAACAAACACCCCCTTATTACTCGTGCTGAAACAGCAACCAAAGCTACATGGGACCACGCAATGAATTGATTCCAGAGCAGGTACAACACTAGATTGCTTGTATGGTACTCGTACAAAACTGATTTGGACTTTAACAACTTTCTTCCCAATCTTTAGATCTGATCATGTAGCTGATAGTACAGCATCATGTACCTATAGCTATAAACAGCATATAATCTAGCGCACACCACTGGTGGATTCTGGAAACTTATCTCTTCTTGGGGAATCAAATCACATGATGAGACTGAGATATGGACGTCTTTGATACGACAGGGATGCTTACAGAATATCGCTATGATGGCTTGTGTGGTCGGAACTCGAGATAGAAAGGAAAAAAAATGCTGCTATCATGTAAGCGAAACAATATGACTGAAGAAATTGGTGGCTTGAAAAATGGATGTAATATGTAATGTTATGAACCAATGTTAATAGCTCTGCTATCATCATTATCGGATTCACATAACATATATGGTATAACACTTTTATCATAAACAGCAACGTTTTCAGGCTATTTTCCCTGAAGAAAAGATGAGCTAGCTAGCAGTGAGCATGCATGAATATAATATGTCTGCACATCCACACAGACCTTTAGAATGAAGCAAGTTTGGTCGGCTTCGGATAATCAACAAGCATATTTATACAGCAATACCTTTTTGAGTGTAGATGGATAAATATGAGCATAACTGTTGTAGTACTGCCAGAAATCCTAGTTTACAAGCAATGCTAGCTTAGCTTGATGAAGTATTATGGCTCCACTATGGGATCAGTCGTTGAGTTAAACTTACTAGACAGAGGTCGAATAAACACAGATCATGCAGATTCTCTGCTATGGTTTCGGAAAGGCCCCAAAATATCAGAAAGAACAGCCTAACCTTGTTCTACTGGCTTCAAATTAAGAACCATTCAGCATGATCAGAACTCTTACCAAGCCTATAACAACCTCTCTGGATCTTTTTTCAGAATGAAGAATACATGAGTGATATTGGTTCGGCTCGCATCCAGTCCAAGTCCAACGACAGACTCGAAGCAAGAAGGACATGAGCCGGAACAATACCACGCCATGTCGTCTTCTTCCTCTTGCGTCATCCTCCCGGCCGGCCGCCGTAGACCTCTGAAACTGTTTTCTCTGCTGATGCCAAAGCAGCCATGGCATGGCTATTTAATAGCGAGGGGTGGCGCCAGGGTGAACCACGTATCGCTCCGCACCCTTTCCTTTCTACTACCGGCAAACTACAGTTAGCTCCTGGATCTGCCAAAACATAACAACGATCCGGGGACCAATTGGATTGCTGGTCACTACGCTTGTGATCCCCAGCCTCCAATTTTCTTCTGCTGCGTTGCTTATTCTATCCCTCTGCTGTACTTAGCAACGGATCGGGTTTGGGGCGGATATCCGCGGGTTTCGGGTTCTGCGGGTTCGGGTTTGGGGATGATTTTTCATCCACGGTTTTCGGGTTCGGGGCCCCGAAACCAATCGGGTTCGGTTTCGGGTTTGGTTTTCCACCCGTGGATATCCAATGGATATCCGAAATAAATCATTTGGAATTAAAACTCATGTTTTATAATATACTAATAATAATTTGTTTACTTAGATTATTAAATTTATTTAAAGTTGACTCATGAAAATATTTATTATTTGTTGCCTCTTGTTTATACATTTGAATATGTGTATATATATCCGCGGGTTTCGGGTATCCATTCGGGTTTCGGGTATCCGTTCGGGTTTCGGGTATCCGCGGGTTTGGTTTTGGTGATGGATTTCCACCCGAATCGGTTTTCGGGGCGGATTCGGGTTTCGATTTCGGGTTTCGATTTTGGGTGCACGGAGACTCCACCCGATCCGAACCCGACCCGTTGCCATCCTTAGCTGTACTAGGCTACTACTAGCTGCATTTGGGCTCGGGTGGTAGCCCTTCACTCCAGCTACGGATGTAGGCGTGTGCCTTTATAGAGTTCTATAAATCTTAAGGCTGCTAATTTAAAAGGACTCTAGTGAATCAGCACATAATCTTAGGGGAAATGTTTTAGTTTTAGCGCCCGTTTATTTATGTTCCTTGACTTGATGGGAACAACTTTTGGAAGTCGTCTGCCTGACTGCCTGCATGGCCTCATTATCCTTTGACATCCCACCAACAGCTGATATTTGTGAGAAGATTTCTTTTCTTTTTTTCCCTAATGGCAATGGGCGATGTGGTAATTAGAGCAAGTATAATAACGCTTTTGAGCCGGCGAAGAGCAGTCCACGTCGACAAAAAAGACGCCACGGTAGGAGAGAGACTGTGGAGCGGGCGATTCCCTTCTCGCCGGCTGCAGCCGGCTGCAGCACAAGCCACGAGAAAAAAGCTTGTCTCTCAGCCCGCAATGCTCTGAACATCTGAACGTATATTGATCTGAACATTAAATACTACAGCCAACCCTACAGTCTGCCCCACTATATCAGTCTTCGTTGCTGAAGGCTGCAGCAGACTGGCGAGTGATGTGGCATGGGTATGCAGCCTGCTGCCGGCGTTTTTATTAAACTTGCTCTTAAGTGGGTCGGTACTCTCATGAGAGGTCCACATGAGCTGATCGATTTCACATTCAGCGTTCATATATACCTAAACACCAACTGCCATCGTTATTCTGTGCTTCCTCTGGACTCTGGAGCTACCAACTGGCGTTCCTTATGTGAAGGGACAGATCTCTTGCCGCTCCGCTATCTTGCTCACGGGGACGTAGGTAGTGCATGCGGACATGAGCAATGGCCAGATTCAGATAGCAATGTACCAATGTCCACATGGATGGGAATTGGGATGGTGGTCCTTGGGACGAGTGGACGACCAATTGCTGCTTGATTTCATACATGTACTCAAAACCCTGCTTCGATCAATTCTTGCTAGCTCAGTGCCCAACTGCCGATGACAGCATGACAGCATGATGAGCATTGAGCATTAAAAAAGAGGAAATGCAATTCTTGCTCACTGGACGTACGAGTGCCACGCAACCACCTGGGCAGGAAATCAGCAAAGAATCCTGGCTGGGACAAACGCCCATATGCTTTATACTAATGTTACATACCACACCATCATTAATTAGAGTAGAGAGTAGCTGTGATGATGTGAGGACGGAAGCCTGCACACATCGTTGCGTTTATCCGCTGGGTCTTCTGGCCAATCTGATCCTGGCCTTTGGGAATAGAAATTCACGCGGCCGGGATGCGCTTCAGTCACCCGATCTTCCCGTTGACCCGAATGAACTGCTCCTCTTCACGTGCGGATGTGAGCCGGCCGGTACGCAGAGTCAGACGACGCCAGCGAGTAGGATTCTTGCTGATACGGCATGGAGCTGGTGGCCGTCATGCATGGCCAATGGCTCTCGGTGGAAATCGTTGCCACTTTTCGCCGTTCAGGATTAAAAACCGGTCACGAGTAGTCCTTTTGGTGCTTGGGATTCTGGATATCGGTACGAATTGTTTTGTAATCGTGGTTAGTAACTGCCCTCGCCGTTCACAAGGATTGATTAAAAACCGGTCACGAGTAGTCCTTTTGGTGCTCGGGATTCTGGATATCGGTACGAATTGTTTTGTAATCGTGGTCAGTATGGTCCAATGGCTGCCCTACTCTATGCCCTAAAATGCTCTTGTTGTTGACCTGTCTTAGCCGGCAGGGGTGTACAACGCATGTGGGGTGGTAGTCTTCTGTAGTTCTCGAATAGGTGTTGACCTCCAATTATATGTTCCCTTTTTCTTCAAAAAAAAACTATATGTTCCCTTTTCCTTTTTTTCTCGAAAATCACCTACACCAGGAATGGAAGGGAGGGGTTTCTCTTCTCTTTTTCATTCACTGACTGATGGCGATGCCAGATAAAACCATCTCTTTTTAATTTTTTTTTGAGCAACATCTCTTTTTCAATGTTGCCAGATAAAACCATCTTGTAGAGAACTTGGCAAGCCTGAAAGCCCATTGGGCCAGAAACGCTAACAAGTAACAGCACGTTGGTACAAGCACGGCCCAACAAAAAGCACATTGGTCCGTATCAGCAAACGGGATCCCCTAAAAAAAACAAAACAAACGGGAGGTACCAGGTTTCCTACCGCACTTCCGAAGGGTCCACCGTCCGCGTTCGTGAAAGCCTGATCACCGCCGCGCGGCGCGGCGCTGCAGAACCCTAGACCCCCACCCGACCCACCGCCCCTCGTCGACATGGCCGACGCCTCCGACCAGCCCCCCTACGGCGACGAGCACCGGTCGGGAGGCGACCCCCGCCGCACCTACACGCCGTACCAGACGGAGGGCCTCAGCGTCCTCTCGACCCGCGCGCTCTACGACCTGCCGACCTCGCCGGAGCTGCTGTTCTACGAGGAGCGGCGCAAGGGCCGCACCTGGGGCGAGAACCTCACCTTGTACACTGGCTGCGGCTACCTCGCCGGCTGCGCGTCGGGAGCGGCCGTCGGGCTGCGCCGCGCTGCGGCGGAGTCCCAGCGCGGCGAGTCCGCCAAGCTCCGCGCCAGCCGCGCGCTCACCCAGTGTGGCGCCGTCGGCCGCGCGTACGGGAACCGGCTCGGCATCATCGGCCTGCTCTTCGCGGGGGTCGAGAGTGGCGCGGCAGGGCTCCACGGCGCCGACGACTGGAAGAACACCGTCGCCGGGGGGCTGGGGGCTGGCTTGCTCTATCGGGCGGTGGCCGGTCCGCGCTCCGCGGTCATTGGTTGCGTCGTCGGAGGGCTCATGGCCGGTGCAGTCGTTGCTGGGAATCAAGTTCTCGAGAGATACGTGCCTGATCTGGCTTTATAAACCTCAGTGCTTAGCAGAATTAGTAGGTTTCAATCTAGCGATTTCAGGCTAGTAGTAATAATTAGGTTAGTTATAAGGTACTGGTATTGAATCTGTACAAATTTCCAAGCTTTATTGCTGTTGATTGACTACATTACTCGAGTGCAATCTCTGTCCTGAATTAGCTAATGGTGCTAATGTTTATTTATGAACATGTATCAAAATCATATTGAGAATGGTTGAGTTAATGGTTCTTTAGACGCAAACCAAGTGCTTTGATGCTTCTATATATCTAATCATGTTTACCTTAAATGCTTTGTGCATGATGAAGAATTGAATTAGCTAATGGTGCTATTGTTGATTTATGGATATATATGTCAAAATCGTATTGAGAATGTTAAATTAATGGTGCTTTGAGACTCAAACTGAGTTCTTTGATGCCTCCATATATCTAAAACCATGTTGCCTTAAATGCTTTGTGGATGGTGAAGAATTGAATTGCTGTTGTATTGTTTAGTATTTCATAATACAGGGTATTGTTGTTATTTCTGAGCGATTTTAATCAGTGTGGCTGTTAATTCTATATTACTGCAAAGGGCTTATATACCTTTCTTGCAAAATGTAAGAATATGCATTGTTGGAATCAAATTCCTGTATATCCTTGTTAGTTGCAACATTTTCGTGAAGCAGTGTTGCAATTCTAGTTTTATTCTTGTTGGGAAGCTAGCTGAATCATGCTGTCTGTTTTCGGGCAAGGCATCCTGAAAAATTCGTTAACCTTTCCTTAGTGCACAAATTTGGTTTTTCAGTCAAACGCGACATTGGTGTATATATGTTACTGTTTTTTGTTTTGTCCTGGAGAACTGGTTAACCTTAGTGTACATTTTTTTTCAGTCAAATGCGAGATTGGTGTATTTTTTTTCAGTCAAATGCGAGATCGGTGTATATGTTACTGGTTTTTGTGTTGTCCAGTGTTTTACCACGACTAATAAATAGGCTTGTTTTGCCTATAGAATTTGTACACATTTCCAAGCTTTGTTGCTGATGACTATAATATTGAGTGCAAGCCTGCTGAATTAACTGCTTGTACAAATGTTGATTTATGGATATCAAGCTGGTAGTTGTTCTAGTTAATGGTTCTTGCTTTGAGATTCAAACCGATTGCTGTGATGCTCTCCATATTACAATTTACAGATTGTGGATTATGCAAAATGTGTTAAGGATGACGCAGGATTAAATTTCTTTGTATTGTCAGTATCTTAAAGCATAGTGCATTGTGGTTACTTCTGAAATATTTGGATTATTGTTGGCTGTTAATGCTGCACAACTGTAGCATGTGTTTGTCTACCATTCCTGCTGCTGCAAGAACATATGCATTATAGGAATCGGATATCCCTGTTATTCCTCGTTCAGTAAATCAACTGGACAAGACATTTTTCTTCATGTGGCAATTCTAGTTCTATACTTATTTCAGACATAATTCATGCTATACATGTTCAAGGTAAGGCATACTTAATATTTTGTTGTTGAACTTTAATTGTTAAATTGGATGGTACACGTTCTATGAAGCTTGAAATTTGTTATTATGCCTTGCTTCTTGCATTATCTGGCAGTGTTCGATATTTGCTTGATCCAACTATTCTTCAATATGGGTATAGTATATTGCATTGCACCGTCTTTCTCCTGGTAAACTCATTTTATTCAAAAGTATTTGTTTACTTTGTGTGTATGGCATGATGTCTTCAGGTTAGCTAGTTACTACCAAAGATTTTGATTTGATGCTGGTGGTATATGAGACCACACCGAAATACTGGATGGTTGTTGCCTGCCTCCCAGAATTTTCGCTAATTATTTCTTTATTTAATCCTTGTCAGAAACTCACAGAATGACCTATAACTTCAAATCTGGATGAATCAATTTTTTTTTAGTGCTGACCACACTCCAGAGTAATGTTAAATATTGAAAAATACTTGTCAGTATACTGCTGCCCTTCTTTCAATCTGGTGTTAGTGTTTACAAACAACTTTCCCCACTTTCTGCCAACACATAAATCCACTGTATTTATTTGGTGTACAAAAAAATTGTTGAGATTTTGCTGAACTCTCTGTGTGCAGCCCAATAATTCATTGGTATATTTTCTTTTTAATTAGATTTTATAAACAGCAGCTACTACATTCTATCTTTTGTCGTGTAATACTGTTTCTCAAAACGTATTATACTGTTTCTCAAAAAGTGCAGATTCACACCATCTGATGTTGTTTTGTGACTGGAAAATGGAATGATCTAAAGAAAAGATGTAGGTGACATGTGAATGAGCACAGCCCTGCTGTCAACTATTCTTTGTTGAAACAATTGTTAAACTCTTTTTTTTTTATCGAAAACGCAGGAGAGCTACGCTTCATTGTATTAAGAAGAAGAAAGTTGGGCAAGAGCCCTGTTTACAGCTCACACCACACACCCACCATAAATTTTTTTACATTCGCGCCTCGGATAAAAGAAAAATCCGACCTTCTACTAGTGTAACCCTAATCTCCAGGGAGGGGGCAGTCAAGAGGGATAATCCTCGAGCCCCTGCCATCACCCAGAGACGCCTTTCTTCACCAAAAGTCATCAATGTACCAGCAAGATTAGGTGCTGCTCCATCAAACACAGCGATTCCGATGATTCCATAGTGTCCAAGCACCAAGAATTATAGTGGAATTAACCCCATCCTTGATTAAGCCGCTGGCTGCTTCATCTACCTTTTTCCACCATAAAACAAAGGAGGTATCACTTGGCTGTGGGGATAAAACTTAGAGACCAATCTGTGCAAGGACATGGAACCAAAACTGCCGTGCAAAGACACACCCGACCAGTAGATGGTTAATTGATTCATTTTCCTGATCACAATGAGGACACTTCTCAGGATCTGCGTTTTGCAAGGCGGTCTGCTGTCCAGCAGCGATTATGCGCTACTAGCCAAAGGAAAAACCGGCATTTAGCCGGCGCCCAAGTTTTCCATATTCTCTCCCATGGTCCTAAATGCGTAGATCCCACGAAAAAACCCTCATAAACAGATTTCACGGAGTACTGTCCTCCAGAGTGTAGAGGCCAAACGTATGAATCCTCTACCTCGGGCTGGAGCTCGAGATCATTGAGGAGGTCCCAAAGATGGAGATATTCCACAATTACACCCACTGTAAGTGCTCCCTGGATATCAGACACCCAAGCACGATTAGTGAAGGCCTCCTGAACCGTACGCTGCTTCACTCGTTTCTTTGGGATTGCAGAAAAAAGTCGAGGAGCAAGATCTGCAATACACTGCCCATGCAGCCACCGATCGGTCCAAAAGAGAACGCGGGCGCCATTACCAACTTCAGCATGAACAGTGATTGAAAAGAAGGCATGTACCTGTTTAGGAACTTGAATGGGGAAAGACGACCATGGACGCTGCGGTTCTGTTTTTTTTAACCATAACCATTTCATTCTTAGTGCCTAGCCCAGATTTCTGAGATTCGATATTCCTAATACAAGTGTTAAACTCTATCAGGTACGCCGTGCTTGGGCTAGGCTCAACTCAATGCAGGACTATCAATTGTTTATTAGACGACGGCGTCCTGTCTACACCGGCAGGTCGATGATAGCAATTATTTGAAGCCCTGTTTGTAAGTGCTACGATGAAGTTGAAGGCTTTCAAGCAGGGAGGGCCGAACAGACGGTCATACTGATACAGTTACAGTTAGGGCCGCGCATGGATGTTGCATTCAGCATTCGTCGGCCCTCAGTCCCTCACGCCCACGGGACTTGTCTCTATTTCTCGGCGGTGAGCCGGTGACCTTTGCTCAAAAAAAAAAGGTACTCGGTGGTGCAGTTGCTTTGTTTCAGGTTCTGCTGCTGTTACATGCTTACAGCTTTGCAAAATCACTGCTCACTGGTCAAGAAACTGAAGAACCTAAACTGCAGGATTGAGAAAACTCCATGTGACAAAACAACAAATGCATTGCTGAACTAACTGCAGGGCTCTGAATTCCCAGCCAGCCTATTATGATGAGAACTGATGAAAGTTTGGTCAGAGTGGGCATGGCATTTTGCTGTTTGCAGACCATGTTTAAACCGGTCTAAAATTCCATGGCACTGGAGCCACGGCGCGCAGCAAAGGGCCGGCACTCCAGTATTTCCACTGCAGGCCTTTCAGTTGTGGGCTTGTCTAATCAAAGGAATGAGTTGGTAATCGATGCAGGATTAACGAGAACAGGAGGAGCAAGGCATGATTGCTCCTCCACTATGGCCATTTGACAGCGAGACAGATCCCTGTGGCAAGGTCAGTGCTGAAAGCCCAGAGCCGTGCCAGTTCTTGGCGTCTAGCTCCTCGTCACCTTTTCAGTGCCCTTCAATGTCAAAGCTCAGAAAGCTTGTGGGGTTTGATCTGATCATGGCCTCGCCACTGTTGCGCCCCGCAACTTTCTCCAGCCACTGTTTCCACCATGCATCAATTGCCAGTTCACAAAGCATGGCATGATGTTGAATTGTTGACGCCCAAGGGGCCGCAGCAGGCTGTGGTGTGCTCGATGGCCTCTGCTCCGTGCGCCGTGCTTCTCCCTCTGCGACGCTGCGAGCCTACTGCCAAGCTCATCATGGTAATAATTTGTACTGCTGCTGGTGCAGCAGAAATTGACAATCTTCGCGACTTTTGCTGGAGATTTTCTTTTTGTTTTCCTTTTGAAAAATCCCATCGTTATTCATTTTTTTACGAAAGCTTCATGAGAATATGAGATTCGCATGGAGTACTACTACTTTTCAATTCCATGCATTCTCTGGAGGAATGAAATGCTGTTGCAATGGGTCAATTTTTGTCTGCTCTTTTGACTAGGAAATCAGTGGTCCTTCCTGACAGAGGCTTGCTCACTTTTTGGAGCACCTTTCCCTCTACTCCTACTGCACACGCGCGGCTGCTCAGAATCACGCGGTGGGCGCGCCGGAGGTACAGTACATGTCTTGACTGCTTCATCCTCAACCTCAATCATGCTGCTGGGTGCTCTAGCTGCTGGGTTGCTTCTCACTCCTCTGATCTCGCAAGAAAATTGACAGGGCGAAAAGAATAGGAATGTTGTCTGAAGCATCCAATGGTGAATGCATGCGTTTATTCCTTTCATTTCATCCCTGTTGCTTGAGCATGCTTTGTTCTACTCCCAGGAGCGATCATGGCATTTCAGATGGAGGCCTGGGTGCACGGGAGGATGCTATGCTGCGTGCTCTGTCTGTACCTCACCGACGAGGCTGGAGGCTGTCCAGCGAGCACAGGGACTGTTGCATCCAAAAGGCCTATCACCTCTGTATATTCTTTGGTTGCTCTCAAGGGAGAAATGCAGTAGCGATTTTTGGGAAAAGAGAATCTCCTCAGTAGAGGATATATTCTTTGCAGCTGCAGGAGCTGTCGATGTCAGCAGTAGCGAGTACATATACTACTCCACAGGAACAACGGCCCCGTTCGCTCGAACTCATCAGTCGTACCATTTCGACGAAATAACAGTGTTTTTCTCTCACAACGAATCACATCAGCATCAGCATCAGCCGTTTTTCCAGCCAGCCGAACTGGGAACAGGGCCGACATTAGCAGTTGCACTCTACCACTCCTACATTTGCCTTTTCTGACTTGTACTCCATGGAATTGGAATCTCTTTCCAGTTTGTGGACTTCGGCTCAAACATGATCCACAGAAAAGAGAAAACCACAACCTGGTGTGGCCAAGTTCTTGATCCCGACTCGTAGAAAGTCAGTCATCTTTGACATGATCAAACGAAAGGAGGAGGCAAAGATGGTTGGGGGCAATGAATCTCACTTTTTTCCTGTTCTTTGGTGCTCAAGCCTGAAGCTGAAAGCAACAGTACGGCAATGCCACAATGGTACTAGTCTGAATCTGAAAGGAGCCTGCCTGGTGACTTTGCCGCTTACACATACTAGCTAGAGCTAATAGAGGTAACATCATACTAGCTTAGCTAGAAGTAACATGCTATGATTTGATTCTAAGGTCATCGTCCTACTACCAACTTGGCATTAGCTACTAAACTTTCTAACACGGCCATGATGCCAGGAACATCCAAAACAAACGCGGCGATCACCAACGCGAAGCAGCCGGTCGGATCGGGTCGATCGATGTACAGAATCCAGAAGTGGAGTGATCTAGGATCCACAAATGGACAGGGAAAGTTCCAGGCTAACACCCGGGCCGACAAAGCAGCCTGAGTGCCCGGAGCAGTCGCTGGAGCTCCTCCTCGCCGGCGAGGCCGTGAGGATGCAGCTGCTCTCGCCGCTTGGCGAGGAGGCTGCTGCCATGGCACGGGCGCATCTTGGGTCCGGACCAAGGGACAGCGAGAGTGAGCACTCCTTGGATGGCTCGTCCTTCGCTGCAATGCTGAAGCTACTGAAGAGGGGGCATCCGTTTCCGTCCTCTTTGTTGGAGGCATCCTGCTGAATCAGCGCAGAACCAAGATGGCGTGCTTCTGGTCGGCGTATCTTCTAAAATCCAATGAAAATTGCAATTAGATACATACACTGATGGAAAGTATTGCATAAAGTACAATTAACCGTAAAACCTGCTGACATGTACTCTTTTCCTGTATGCACTATTCTATCCTGTCTATCCACAAGGATCGCCAGGATCCGGGGGCAACGTGGTACAGCAGCTCCGCTACTCAAGTGTATGGAAGCAGGACGTGCAGTTTTCAGAAATTTTCAGTCAGAGCGAAGCTATAATGAGTAAATTCTATCTGCGGCGCTACCATCATCGTGAGAACTCTACTGGGTGCAATGCTAGGCACGGATCTGAACACTGCAGAAGCCACTGCAACATGCCGCTGCAGAAGGTGAGAAGTGTAAATGCCTGAACCAATGCTATGAATGATCTCTATTTAAAAACAACAGACAGATTTCAAGAGCAGATTTTGCCAGTCTCCTTGCTAGTATGCCGATGCTTGTACAGGTATTCACGGGCCAACTGGCGTCTACACGTAGCCAGATACCGAGGTGATACCTGTGCCGACGATCCTACATCAATGTTGTGTATGTTCTACAAAACATGCGCCAAAGATACGGCAGTCCTGCAGGAGGATCTGGGATGTGCAAGTGTGCCTGATCTGAGATGTGTGCCTGGTACTTTAGCCAGATCGTAGTCTAGGTTGATTCCAATGGATCCCATGGTTGTCATAGTCAAAATATAGTCCCTTTGAGATAACAGTCGGGCCGAGAACGGTCTCTATTGGGTTTCAAACTTCACCTTCTTAATACAATGATACGCAATGCTCTTGCGTATTCGAGAAAAAAAAAGATTGGTTGTACACTCATAGTGAGGAAGTGGGCCCTACCGGCAAACACACTTTGCTGGAAAAACAAGCCGAAACACTGTTCCGGCTGATTTATTGTGAGAGAAAAATACGGTTTGAAAAAATACGGAGAGAACGGGGCCGTACAAAAAATCTTTTTTTTTAGATAATGACTTTGTGCAAAAATTCTGCCACAAAATAACTATTGGAAAAAAACATTGCAAGATAGGAGTAAGGATGTAAAGAAGAAAAGGGTTGTGGGTGTGAAAGTAAGCGGGTTAAGACAAGGAAAGATTCATCTTCTTTTGATAAATAAACCTTTTGGCAATATCTCTTTTTCTACTATTACTTTTACTTTTTTAGCTGATGTACCTTAAAGGGGTCAGATTCTTGCACCAAACATCCCATGGCTTGGAGGTTGGAAGGCGCAGCAGCGGTCGGCGCAGCAGCATCAGCATCCCTCCTCTGCCATCTGATGAGTCCCTCCTCCTTTATTCTCCTGCCCATGGAGGCCATGGCTTGCATGTAATCATCGATGCAGTACAGGCCCCCAGCAGCGGCAGTAGTCCTCGCATCACTGACTCCATGGCTTCCCTGCGTGCTCTCGTACCCCATCCGGGCGCTGTTCATGCATCCAAAGAGTAGACGACCAAGACCCCCATGAAAAAAAAGAGCAAATGGACAGACACTATGGGAAAAGGCGCTTTGGTTTTGCGTCAAGATTAGGGCCTTGAAAAGCTTGTCTTTCTTTTAACTTGAACACGTTTCATTCAAATAGGAGAGGGGAAAAGGTGTTTGCAGGCCAAACCTTTTCAGAGGTGGTGGGCACAGGAACTCCTCCTTGGGGCCTTGCTCATCACCGGTGCATGAGTACCTCCTTTGCAGCAGCTGGGCTTGCATCCCTGGGCCTGATCGATGGTGCCATGAAAGAAAGGTGTTTGGCTTTCCATTAGCAAAATCTATCTAAAGTGTTATACTTGTCTTTCCCAACAAAGAGGCTTGCAAGGTAAGCTACTCATGACACATGAGAAGGGAATCTGGGGTTGCTAGGAGTAGTTGGGAAGTGCAGTGAGCATGTGGAGAACTGAGCTAAGAGGAGAGACACAAACCACAAGGCAATGTGATATCTTTTTAAAAAAAAGAAATTATATATAAAAATATTTTGGAATGTTCAGTTTACTGTTGTAGGACATTTGTTTGTTCCTGGGTACTGAATAAATAATTCAGCTATGTACACTGCGCGGCGTTGACATGTAAACAAAATAATTAAAAATACGACCAAGGAAAAAGGGAACGAAAGAAAGAATTCAGTAGTGGAAGAAGCGAGCAAACGAGGGTTCATTTCATCTCTCACCTCTTCTTCCTGCGCCAAGCCTCGCAGCTCTGTACATCTGTTCATCAGAAAAGCAAACGGAGGAATCAGAAGCTTTGAGTTTATTTGGGCACCAGCGCACGACGGTTGCTCCAACGGGAAAACAAACACAAACAGTCATTGCCTTCAGGTGCGAAGGAATGGATGAAGAAGAGAAATAATTAACCTGTAGATGGCTCTTGACATGAGATATGGTAAGCTCCTTGACGCCCATGAACTGGACAATGAGCTTCGGCGTAGCCTCTGCAGTTTACACCACCAAAACGGCAATTAGCCAGGCTGTTGAAATTTGAAAATGCTACTGAAAGTAGCTAGCAGAAAGACACACAAGCACACACATCACAACCAATATTTTCTCCAAGAGAAAGAACACAACTGAGGGCAATATCACTACATGAGCATACAAAAAACTGAGGGCAAGATTACAGCATGGGAGGGCAGCAATATATGTACGATGAAGGGAGGAAGCGGAGGAAGGAGAACGTACTGTGTTGGCCGCCGAGGCAGTCTATGGCCTGCAGGAAGCTGCGGTGGAGGTCGGCGCTCCACCTCATCCTGGGCTCCTTGGACCGGATGTACCGCCTCACTACAGCGCCATTCCTGCCGCTGCCGCTGCCGCCGCCGCCCATGTCTTGGATCGCCAGCAACGACGACGGGTCCTCACCTCCCTGGATGATATGGAGCTCGCACCGGGCCCTAGCAAGGAGACGCCGCACGCAGGTGGTAGAGGAAAGAACCAAACTTCCCCTTTTGTTCCCTCTTCCCGGCTCCTAGTCCTCAGCTCCCTCCCTCGCTCTCTGACTTCCCCTTATATGTGCAAGCCTGCCCAGAGCTGCTGCACCGGCAAGCAGGCTGTCGCTGGTCGCGCGCGCTCTCTCTCTCTCTCTCTCACACACACACACCAGCTGAAGATGCAAGATTTTTTTTTATGGTGAGATGCAAGGGCCGCGTTTAGTTCGCTGAACTTGGCTTAGCCCGATTACTGTTCATTCCTGTAGTGCACTGTAGCATTTCGTTTGTATTTGGTAATAATTGTCCAATCGTCGACTAATTAGGCTCAAAACGTTCGTCTCGCAAAGTACAACCAAACTGTGCAATTAGTTTTTTATTTCGTCAACATTTAGTACTCCATGCATGTATCGCAAGTTTGATGTGACGGGGAATTTTCTTTTTGCATAGTGCCAAAGTTTGGATTTTGGTGAACTAAATATGGCCAATATTTGTTGCGAATGAGAAAAACCAAGCTGCAGGCGCCCTTCCGTGCCTCTTTCAGTCTCTCTCGCTCGCTCCCTCAAAAGGCGAGGCGAGAACCAAGAGGAGGGGGGCGCAGGTTTATAAGCTGGAGTCTGGACGCTCGTGTTAGACCTTTAAGCAAGATCTCTAGGCATAAAACTAGTATGTCTATTTGCTATTGAATAAAATCGTGAATTCTAGAACATCTACTAGTGTAATGACAGTAGATAGAACGAGTTGTCGAACCTGACACCGTAGAGGGAGATGGTCCAGAAGCCACCATCTCGTTCGTCGATGAAGTCTGCGCACGGGCAGCGACGTTCGGGGAAGAGGGCGATGAAGTCATCGACGTCGGTGGAGCGGGGCGGCGCGGCTAGTGGCTTCCCGTCACTGGCTACGCTCCTCTCTGATCGGGTTCGGGTTTATCGGTGGGGAGCTCGGCTTAGGTGAACCTCGTACTCAGAGCCGTCAGCACCCACCTCTATATATTGCGCAGTATGACAGGGGTCCTCCAGCCATAGTGGGCTAGGCACCCCCGATCAGGGCGCGGATCAAAGGCCCAACTGGTCCGTTGGACCCAGTTTAGGATTAGAGATCAATCTAACAATCTTCCCCTTGATCTCCTACCATCTTTCAATTTCATATCATTTACTTTTGTTCATTCCATTACAGATTAGCGCATAGAGCATGTTTCATCGTCACGGTCAATTGCCGATAGATTTAACAACTACAACACACCACTCTATTCTAAAATAGATACTTAACTTTGGCCTTTGGCCTTTATTTTGTTCAGGAATTATAGGCTTTCCTTTAAACCCATGCCGGCTACATGCTCTCTGAACACATTGGGTGGTAAGCCTTTTGTAAGCGGACCCATGAGCATCTTTTCGATACTTATATGCTTAAGGCTTATGACATGATCCCGGACTTTATCTTTCACAACATAATACTTTATGTCAATGTGTTTGGCAGCACCACTTGACTTATTGTTGTGAGCATACTGTACTGCCGGATTATTATCGCAGTATAACTTAAGTGGTCTATAGATGTCGTCAACCACCTTCAAACCAGGTATGAACTTCTTTAGTCAGTTCACCTGCCCCGTTGCCTCATAACACGCTACAAACTCGGCATACATTGTGGACGATGTAGTGACGGTTTGCTTTGAGCTTTTCCATAAAATAGCTTCCCCTGTGAGAGTGAATACATATCCAGACCTGGATTTTCTATCATCTCCCGCATAATCAGAATCTGAATATCCCACTATATGGAGTGAATCTAATCTTCTATACGTCATCATTAGGCTTTTCGTTCCTTGTAGATAACGAAAGACTTTCTTTACTAATTTCCAGTGTTCTGTTCCAGGATTGCTCTGGAATCTGCCAAGTAACCCGGTAACAAATGCCAAGTCAGGGCGCATACGTACTTGAGCATATTGCAAGCTTCCGACAGCTGAAGCATATGGAACCATTTTCATTTGATCGATCTCATACTGATTCCTAGGGCATTGAAAATCCACATATCTGTCGTCCTTGACTATAGGAGCAGGTGATGAACTACATTTGTGTATATTGAATTTCTTTAAAAAAATCTATGTATGCCTTTTGTGACAGTCCTAATACCCCTTTACTTCTATCTCGGTGAATTTCGATCCCTAGAACGAACGAAGCTTCACCAAGATCTTTCATATCAAATTTTGAGGACAAAAACTTCTTTGTCTCCAGTAGTAGACTGACATCATTACTAACAAGTAAGATATCATCCACATACAGGACAAGGAAGATAAACTTCCCATTCTTAAACTTTACATAGACACAATTGTCCTCTACATTCTCTTTAAACCCAAAATTCCTTATTGTCTGATCAAACTTCAAGTACCACTGCCTTGAAGCTTGTTTTAATCCATAAATGGATTTCTTTAAGCGGCATCCCATTCGTTCTTTTCCTTCCATGACAAAACCTTCTAGTTGTACCATGTAAACATTTTCCTCCAAGTCCCCGTTGAGAAATGTCGTCTTTACATCCATCTGATGTAATTCTAAATCGTAATTTGCCACTAATGTCATTATGATTCTGAAGGAATCCTTACATGAGACTGGAGAAAAGGTCTCATTGTAATCAATCCCTTCTCTTTGCGTAAAGCCTTTTGCCACAAGTCGCGCTTTATATCTCTCTATATTCCCTTGAGAATCAAGTTTTGTTTTGTAGACCCATTTATAGCCTACTATTTTGGTTACTTTAGGAATTATTTCCAAGTCTCAAACTTTATTGGCATTCGTAGATTTCATTTCATCTTCCATGGCCTCAAGCCACTTTGATGAATGATCACTTCTCATGGCTTCTTCAAATGAGGTGGGATCATCCTCCATTTAAAATTCTTCAGTGTTGTATACTTCATAGTCAGCAGAAATAGCTGATTTTCTAACTCTTTGAGATCTTCTAGGGGCCTCTACATTTGGCACATCTTCTGTTTGAGGCTGTTGTTGCTCCCCTCATGTGTGGCAATAGGTTCTATAGGATCCTAAAGAACAGGTTCCTCATCGTTATTCATTGTTGCCACAGGCGGAATAACAATAGGTGCTGACACTATAGTATCTTGCACTGTCGGTGCAGCGACAGCAGGTAGTGAGAAAAATGACTCATGAATCATCGAAGTGGGTGGATACACCCGCTTCTCTTCAAGGTAAATTTCTCAAGCTACCATGCTCCCCCTCATCATTTCATCCTCTAGGAAGACAGCGTGTCTCGTTTTCACAAACTTTGTATGTCTGTCTGGACAGTAGAAACGAAAACCTTTTGACTTTTCTAGGTAGCCAATGAAATGGCAACTTACTATTTTGGGATCTAGCTTCTCAATGTTTGGGGTAAATACTTTAGCCTCAGTAGGACTTCCCCACACACGTAAGTGGTTTAGTGAGGGTACTCTTCCAGTCCACAACTCATTTGGGCACCGACTTACTTGGTACTCTATTGAGAATATGAATGGCGGTTTTAACGCCTTCATCCACAGGCTCAACGGTAAGGTGGAGTAACTTATCATACTGCGCATCATATCCATCAGGGTACAATTGCGTCTTTCAGCTACTCCATTCTGTTGAGGTTCGTCCAGTGTAGAATACTGGGCAACTATGCCATTCTCCTGTAAGAACCTTTCAAAAGGTCCATGAACTTGGCCATATGGGGTATGCCGACCGTAGTACTCCCCCCGCACGGTCGGACCTGACTATCTTAATCTTTAAATTATGTTGGTTTTCAACTTCTGTTTTAAATATCTTAAATTTATCCAATGCTTCTGTTCTTTCTTTGAATGGATAAATATAGCCATAACGGGAGTAATCATCTGTGAATGTTATGAACGAATCATAACCATCCACACTCTTTACAGGAAACGGACCACAGATGTCTGTGTGAATAATCTGTAAAATTCCTGCGCTTCGTTTGGCATCTTTCTTAATTTTCTTTACATATTTTCCTTTTATACATTATCTGCATTATTCTAAATTTGAGAACTCTAATGGAGGAAGAATATTAGTCTTAACTAGTCTTTCTATTCTTACTCTCGAAATATGGTCTAGATGACAGTGCCTTAATTTTGACGATGCATCGTGCTCTCTTTCGTTTTCTGTTTACATCCGCAGACGAGGATACATTCTCATTGTCGCACGCAACGTTCCCATCATCGCATACAATATTCACATCATCACGTAGTGATAACAAATAAAGCTCATTTTGTAAGATAGCAAGACCAACACACGCATTATTAAATGTTATCTTACATTTGCCATTTCCAAAATGGCAATCATATCCATTATTGTCCAAGCATGAAACACTAATCAAGTTTCTCTGTAAAGAGAGAACATAAAGTACATCTCTAAGTAAAAGTGTGAAGCCATCAACAAGCTCTAGAGAAAGATCGCCAACGGCTTCAACATCTGCTCGGACTCCATTTGCAACTTTAACGTGTCTTTCTCTTCTTTGCGTAGTCCTCGTCGAACGGAATCCCTGTAAGGAATTAGCAACATGAACAGTTGCACCTGAATCAATCCACCAAGTAGATTTCGAATACTATACATACATGAATTCATTTATGAACGTAATAATGTTCTCACCTTTTCTTTGCCATGATCATCTTTAAGTAATCGGGACAATCTTTCTTATAATGTCTCGTCTTCTTGCAATATACACTGGTCTTTCTCTACTATGAACTTGTTCTACTGAGGCTGATGCAGCATGGAACCCTTTCCCTTTGACTTTGAGGAGGAGTTATCATTATTATTCTTTTTTTTGTTGTCTTTCACATAATTGATACTGCCACCATTGGTAGCTTCCATTCTCTCCTCCTCTTGCACACACATAGCCATGAGCCTCTCTAAGTCCTACTTTTCGGGCTGTATGT